AAAAATTCGTGGAATTCGCTATATCCCCTTAGGAAGATTCCATGGTTCTGATTATATCTAGGTTTAGCATTGCTCTTCCGAATTCATTACCTCCCAGGAAGAAACACACTCCACTGAAGAGCATTGATGGGAAAAGCTTGGGAAACCCGGAGATGATAGGACTTCTGGCTTCATCAGATGCAAAGTGAACTGTGCCAGCAAGCTTCTTGGGGAAAGCCAGGCTTAGCAGTTACAATGTTATTTTCAGTTCTTTATTATTCCCCGATTCTAAGAACTGTAGCCTGTCTCCTTTCAGTTATAGAAACAAAAACGCCAGAGAGAGTATTGGCCTGACCAAATATAGACACTGGTTTGTCTTTGTTGCTATTTAGAGGAAAGTGTGACAGAAGCTTCTTCAACTGTAGGATTATTTAAAAAGCCACTGGGGTTTTTAAATGTGAAGACCCCACTGGAAGTTCAGAAATAACCAACTGCGCACGGTGGACTTGTTCCCTGATTTAACTTTGCGTGAAGTTTAGAGAACAATCAATAAACACAGTGCTGTACCAGATTATGTTACACGTAAAGGGCATGTGGACTCAGGATTTCAGGCCTGGGGAGGCTCGGAAGGACCGGTGTGCATTTTCTTCACTCTGCACATACATAGTGCTAATACTCTACCGTGGACTAGTAGTCATGCTATCAAATATAACAACAGAGGTAACAGACTAGTGACATTTGTCTGGGCTAGTTCCTGGATTTGATCTCTAATTTGTTTCATTCCCTCAATTTAAACTTTACTGGATATGTTTATTTCTGGGTGGAGAATAACATGTATTTACTGACTTAGAAAGCTTATACTGAAGAGGCAATACTATGTTGCTGATTATTATCCTATTCTCCTAGCAGTGACATATTTACGTTCACTACAATAAGAATTGTAGAAGCAAGAACCACTCACATGGTGTTCACTGAGGTCATCAGCTGAAAGAATTGTGACTACTCTTTGCCTTTGCTGTCCCCTAAGCTGGTGCCTACTGAGTTACCACTAAGCACGTCCCTGCATTTAGTGAGTTATAGCTGGGTTCCTGGCAACTAAAACAGTTTAATACGGTGGGTGTTTACTAGGTCTGTGTTGAGTGAAAAGGTAAATCAAGAGGGAGCGAGAGGGAGGGAAGATGAGGTGGAGCGCAGGAATTTTTAGTGCAGTGAAACTATTCCGAATGACACCTAACGGTGGGTAACAGTCCCCACACCTTTGTCAAAATCCATAGAATGTACAACACAAAGAGTGGATCCCAATGTACATTACAGACGTTAGTTAATGCTAGTGGATCAGCATGGATTCATCAACAATACCAGACGAATACAGGAGGTGAATAATGGGGGGCTGTCTTGGGAAGGAGGAAAGAGCATGTGGGAACTCTCTGTACTTTGCCGTCAGTTTTTCTGTAAACCCAAAACGACTCTAAGAAACATAAAGCCTATTAATCTAAACAACAACAACAATAAAAAATAAATAACTGGGATGAGATGGTCTTAGCATGGCATGTATTGTAAGAAAACAGAAAACCAAATTTAACTAGTAAGGCACAAAGTTTGCTTACTCAAGCCATGGGAAGGCATCAGGGGAAACTGGAACCAAGGCCTTAAATGCTCTTCATTTTTATAACAATCTAGATTGACTTTCTGCCTAATGCCCAAACCCCAGTGGCCCGAGCTCCCAGGCTCACAACCTCCCACACTTGCCACAGTGGGAAAGGGCGCTTTCTTACTTTAGCTGTTTTTAAACCCTCCCCTCCCAAGGGATGTTGGTCAGCCTACCTTGGAACTTTGACCCCCTTCAGACTAGTTATGGCGTTTGAGAGAGGCCCCAATCTCAGCATGGTGCTTACAAGGCTGGAAACAAGCAGGCATGATAGGAGCTGACTGCAGTTATCCTAACCAGAGAGGTTGGCGGCTCAGAATGGATGGTAGAGTAAACAAGTGGTTAGGTCTGGACCTGGTCTGCACACAGCCTGGCAGGGTTTATGGAGGCATTGGGTATGAGCTGTGAGAGAAGGGCATGGAATGACTTCAAGGCTTTCATCCTGACAACTCAAAGCGGGGAGCTGTCTTTGAACTCTGATGGTTATTTTTATGTGTCAACTGGACTTGGTAAGGGATGCCCAGTGAGGCGGTACGGCATTTCTGGGTGTGTCTGCGAGGTGTTTCCTGAAAAGATCAGCATCTGAATCAGCAGACTGCGTCAGGCAGAGCAGCTTCACCAGTGGGCTGGCATAATCATCTGCAGATGGCCAGAGGGGGAAACAAGGCAGGGGAAGGATAAATTCTCTCTCTCTCTTCTTGAGCTGGGGCATCCGTTTTCTCCTGTCCTCAGACATCAGCGCTCCTGGTTCTTGGGCCTGTGGGCTCCGGGACTTACACCAGCGGGCTGCTCCACCATCCTCAGGCTTTTGGCCTCAGACTGGGAGTTACACCATTGGCTTCCCTAGTTTTCAGGCCTTTGCACTTGGCTGCATTATATCACTGGCTTTCCTTGTTCTCCAGCTTGCAGACGGCAGATGATAGCATATCTCGGCCTCCATAGTCACACGAGCCAATTTCCAGAATAAATCTTCTCTCACACATATCGGCTCTGTTTCTCTGGGGAACCCTGACTAATACATGAGCAGAGGGGGGTTATGGTGGCACAGCCCTTAGAGCCACATCAGGAGCTTGGTTTTAGAGATAGTAGGTTAGCCATTCCGCTGGAGATGTTAAGTCAGCACTTGGATACATATGCGTCTGTTCCTCCAGGTATCCACCTGGCATACTGTTGCTGGACTGTGACTGCTTATTGTTCGACCCCGTCCTCCAGAACTCAAACTGCAGCAGAGCACGGACATTGCCTGTTTTGGTCACTACTGTATCTCCAGCAGAAGAATTCCTGGGGCATTTATAAAACTTACTGGAAGGGCGAATGAAGAAATGAATGAGAGAGTTAAGTGTTCAGCACAAGTGTAGGTAGAGAATGCAGCACAGGAAGTATCTGTCTGAAAGTGAAACTGTTTGCCTGGCTGTTACTAGGGAGAGGTTTATAATAGACATTTGTAACAAACATTTTCTCTGAAGAACTATGTAAAAATGAAGAGACACTTGGAAGGCTTCTGTAAACTTTATTTTATACTTATGGGCCACTGCCAACACAGGGCCTTGGCTTTTGGCTCATTTCTACAGATTTACTTGGAAAGATGTGGTAAAAGTAGAAATTGGAAATATTCCTACTAGTAAACCACAGTTACTTACCAGTCCATAAACAAAGTGTCCATTGAAGCCTGTGTGGTTATTCGGAAAGCAATGACTTTCTGAATTGATAAAATGCATTCTTCATATGAAAGAGACAAAGCATCTTAAACAAAAAGACAGCTGTCTGAACAAAATGGTGTGAACATCCAGCTTCCGTCACAGGTCCGATTGGAGCATGAGACACACCAGCAGGGTGATGGAATTTGACTGCTTACACAAAGGGGCGCTGCAGCTGGAGCACCTGGAACCCGGTACCCAACAAACGATGAGCTAATTTATCATCAGGAATATGCTTGATGCAGCCTGATGCAAACATTAGATCACTTGTCAGCCTCATCACCGAGTTGAGTTGATGATCCGGATGATATAATACTTCAAAGTTGAATGACTTTTGATCCAGCGCAGGAGAATATACAACCCCAAGTACTGTTTTATCAAAGCAACCAAACAAACAGAATCCTACTGTTAGTTCATGACGCGCCCCCTTTCATGCCCCGCCCAGATTCCATTTGTAATGGTGACACAGTCACAAGCTTTCTGAACACATAGATTGAAACTGACTGAGGCTGATTGTCAGGATGAACAACCCCTAGATTCCAGCCAGCTTGTGTGCTTGGGTACAGCTACGGGGCATTATTCTTAGATTACATAAGTCCTCACACCATCACACACATGCATACATCACACACACAGATACACTCTGTAGCGATAATAACAGGAAGATTGGCTAAAAGATATGTACAGTTGTATATATATTTACATACACATGGTAAAAGATTTTCTGCTATACTCACAGTCTGTAAACATCTTGGAAAATGCCCAGCAAAAGTCACCGTGGGCCCTTTGAAATGGTGACCATGTGAGTAGTGAGGGTGTGGGAAGGGTATGGGAGGTGTTTAAGTTCACATTGGAAACCTGGAGAATAAAGAAGCATCGTTCATGATGGCCTTTGGGGGTAATTGTATTTCACTGACATGGTAAACTCAGCTGGCCACTTTGAAATGATGTTTCCTATATGGACAAGGGAATGACCAAGAAAGTCTTACTGCCAATTAACATTTAAGACAAATCAGGAGAGTATGAGGTGGTGTGTATTTTATATATACATATAAATGTATTTATGTATGTATATATAAAATACACACATACATATATACACACACGTGCATGCACACACGTGTATATATGTACATATATGCATATACATACATATACATGTTATTATTACCAAAAAACTCAATGAAAATTTCCATATCTTCTAAAAATATTCAATCCCATTCTCCTAGGTGTGTTTTAGACTTCTGTGCATTTCACCAAAAGTCTTGGATATAGTTAAATGCATGTGTACCTTTAAACTTTGGTATATGATATTGATTTTACATAAAAGACATTAAAAAGAGATTGGGCTTATGAAATACAGAACTATTTGATTCAAGCATCATTATTTTCAAATTTAACATAAAAATATGTTCAGGATCTCCTATAATGAAACACCATTAAAAAAATAGGTTCTTAGAAATTATTTGAACAGCAGCTATTACACTGCCATATGTGGTTATCAGTTTATGCTTTTTTTTTTTTTTGTATTTGTTGCAGCTTGAGAAATTATGTTTCAAAGAAAAACAGTGACATGAGAAATAGTAACCTAATTGTTCACCTAAATTTTGTTTTACTGTTTTAAAAAAGAAAATAAACTCAAATAATTTATAGGCTACTATGCAGTTAAAAAAATACTGGCACCGAATGACGTTTCAAATCAAGGTGACTTAAGCCCATACTGTGGTTGGTAAACAAACAAACAAAAAAAACCCCACTTAAAAAATATCTCTATGTCATAATCTCCACACTTTCATGATGACCAGTTCTATTGAACATGTGGCAACGGCCGTGAAAGCTAGTCATGCACTGAAAACTATTCTCATGCAACGTAGTAAATAACATCTAGTTTCCTTGAACAGTCTCCCTTTCCCCTGCCAACGCTCACCGTTTTCTAGTGTTGAATATAACATGCAGAATATGTAAATTAGATAACTTAAAGAAGGGAGATTCATTGAATTTGTGGGTATAAACCCGTCCCCTCTCTGATGTTTTGGAAAGCATTTTCCGGCGGTGGGACTGAGTCATGGGAGAAGAGACTTCTGGAGACATAGTTGCTGTGTGATTTTTTTTTTCCCCTCCAAGGAGATTTGAAGGAATATTGATGAATGTTTCTTAAAGTGTTTAGTTTATACTGTCCTTGTGGCTGCTCCTCTCTGTGTTGTGGTTATTTTGTTCATGGTTCTTCCACTGGATGCTGGTTCCATTCATGGGGACCGAGGTCGTCAGGCTCTTGGACTGGTAACAGCAGCAGCAGAGGCAAGACTGGGAGAGGGAACAGATGCTAAATGACTTGAGCCTACCAGCCTGTTCCCAGCATAGCGCTCAGGCCTTGGGCCCCCACCAACAAGGAGTAAATGTTCACATGCACTTGAGGACAGAATGTGAGCCTTAACATAATCTGGGGATGGAGTCGGTAACCTGTAGGGAGAAGCTAAACTGTCCATTCTAGTGCAGAGAAATAGAGCCCATGTTTCTTGTTTAAATTCTATTGTCCAAGTCCAAGGGGAAGGGAAGCAGGTTTGGCCAGAGGGAGAGCGCTCTATCACTTGAGGTGGGCACGAGTTGGGAGCTAGGAGGGACCTGACCTTTCTTCAGTGTGTACCATGGTCTGGCTCTCTGCATTGTTCGCCTCATCTGATGTTCGCAGCCCTGGTAGTAGGTGCTATTTTCCTGCCAAGTTATAGGAAACTACCAAGTTTCATCTATTTGTATGATTCTTGGTTAATATACATCTCTCTCCTTTCAGACTGTATGTTCCACAGGGGCAGTCACTATGTTTTCCGTGTCCACTCTATCCCAAATACTAACAAACTGATACTGAGCATTTATTATTGTTTCAAGTACTTAATATATATTAACCCATTGAATCCCACTTATGACATAGATACTGTGATTGTCTGATTTTACAGACCAGCAAACTAAAGAACCAAGTGGGGCACCACCCGGACCTGGGTTTGGCAGTAGGTGCACAGCGGTGATGTAAATCAAGATTGTTTGTTTCCAGAGCCTGCACCCTTGACCTCTATGCTACTCTTCCTAATATGTGCCATGAACTGACATCCTGGCTGGAGATAGCATAATCCAGTTTGCTATCTCTATGTTATCCAGTTGGACTCTATGCTAAAATTATTCCAGGAACTGGAAAACTAACACATCAAAGAGAAGTGCTTGGACCTTCTGGAGGACATGGGCTGGCTTAGCTACAAGGAGATTTGAAGAACAGAAGGAAACTGATTTCAAATGCAATCACATTTGTTCAGATTTCCAGAACAATAAGCATTTACGTTCCTCGAGGAGGCTGTTATCGAATATACTATTTAGTAGCGTTTAGCAAGACCTTTCTTAACAATAGAGTTTATGTTTCATTGAGGCTGTTGTTAGTCTAAAAACAATATAAGGAAGAAATAGGTTATATGTATTCGATGTGGCCTGGAGCTCACATTTGAGCATTTCTTTTAAAAGGAGAGTACTACATTGACATGTTATTAAGTTAGTTATTTTTAATTTTAACCTCTGAATATGTCGCTGTCTGACTAGATATTACGTTTCTCTTATGCTGACAATCTGACCATCTTTCTAGTTAACAAAATATGATTTCCACTTCTCTACTGAAAAGTATAGCTGATGAAAGTAATATTTACAGCTGGAATTAGCCATGCCTGTTGGCTACTTAATATACTTATTTGGTTGGCCTTAAAAATACTTGCAAAACGGTCTTACCTGAAAACAATTTTTAAATTTCTTGCTCACAAAATATAGAGCTATTGGGTTAATACATGAATTCATAGTTGCCAAGTTAATACCGATGTAATCCATGAGCAGCAAGAAACTAGAGCAAGAGAAAATAGAGTAAAATAATTAGAACGTGATGTTTTCAAAACTGCAAACCAGCATTTATCCCTAGAATAAGCATTTTTCTTGCCCAGAAGCCATTTCTCGCAAGGAGCAGTCAGAAGGTTTTTAGAGTCCTTGTTTAAATGGCAGTTACAGTTCTGCAGGACATTCACCTGCCACTTGGTGAGCCCGGGCTGTGATGCACAGCCTCAGGAGGGGAGCAGCAAGATTACAGGTAGGCTTGCACAAATTTGGGGATCAGTTATGGGCTATGTCAGCTAGAGAAAAAATAATCAACTTTGCAGTTTTAATGTTCAGGGCTAATGAGAACGTAGACTAGATGGTTTTGCAAAAGCATCATACATGTGAAATTCAGAGACTCTCCAATTTCCTAATGGGTACATAGTATCATACCTAAGTAATTCACATCGGTTCGTGTCCGTCTCATCATACACGGTTTTCTTCAAAATACGGCTTAAATGAAGAGGGAACCAGCAAAGAGCAAAAATTACAACCAAGCAGAAAACTGTTTTTGCCACTTCTCGACGCTAAAGGAAAGTGAGAGGAAAAAAAAGTACAGTAAATTCAGTGTTTTTCTGCTAGATAAAAGAACGACACGACAAGGAAGCGGTAGAGAGCAGAGAAAGGGTAGCTCGCCTACCTCCCAGTGCCTCCACCTCTTTAAGATGTAGAGTCCAAGTTTATAATAAAAATTTGCTACTGATTCTTTTGGGCAGCTGCCAGGAAGGATGATAACTTCAGGCTGGTTAGTAGAACCAGGACAGTGGTTTCATGGCAGGGAGAGAAGGGAACTAGTTGGAGCTGAGCCAACACTGTGGCTGAGTGTGTGTGTGTGTGTGTGTGTGTGTGTGTGTGTGTGTGTGTGTAATAGGGGGAAAGCATTAGCTAAAAGCCCCAATAACAACTGACTAGCTTAATTACAGCAGGGCTTGTCAAGGTGACTGAACCCACCATGATAAAGAATGAGAAAAACGTTTTCCAAAGACGTTTGGGGAGAAAAAAAAAAAAAGACGGGAATAGGAAATAGAAAAGAAAAAGCGACAGCGATATGTTTTCTCCATTTCTTGATCTTGAAGAAAACTAGCATTGGGATATTTTTGCTATGAAAATTCTTTTTTTAATGATGTATTTCCCAAAGAGACATTGTTTGCAAAAAGAGGGATGAGGGTAAAGGATTATCAGCAATGGTGATTAGAAAAACTGGGACATTGTGACCCTGGACTGACTTCAGCTGAAGGTTTACATACTTTAAAGTCTGCGCAAGATCAGAAAAACATAGGTTGTGAATTATCAGCAGCAACCAGTCCTTTGTGTGCATTATGCTTGAGTATTATCGTACCTGCATTTAGAAGCCTAACTAGGAACATAAAATGTAACTTGTCTGTAACTGGGATCAGTTAATGTCAAAGTAAAGCTGATTGAAAACAGGGTAATGCTGGTTCAATCCACAGCATATAGCATTAAGTATGGGAAGCCTACAATAAACCCACATGATTAATAGAGTTGTTTAAAAAGATTTGGGGGCAGTTATCACAAATTGCTACTCTAACTTGAAGAACTGTGAGTTCTTTAATCTTTAGGATCTATTGGGCTAGCTGGGATATGCTTCAGAGAACACATAAACGGAGCAATGATTGAGAGAAACAAAGGATTCCAATCTGCAGGAAGGGGGGATCATTTTAAAGGGTCGTTTTGTGTACACAGAAAGACAGTATGTCCAGAAAAATGAAAAAGGAGCGTATTAGGGGAAGGCGACCTCCTCTGAGCATATCCCTAAAGAGGACTCCCCTTTTAAAAGGTAATATTAATACATTGCATGGCAGTCTGCTAGCTACTTAGCCAATATTCATCCTCCTATTTTCCCTGCTATCAGTCAGAGTCTTGATTTTGTATAGCAGTGTGGAGCCTGGCCTAACCATTAAATGGCCACCTGACACAGTTCTATCGGTCAGATTGAGCAGAAATTGTGTGAGGTTTCTGGAAAGCTGCTTAAAAGTGGGGGATACTCCTTTGGTGTGCACACACTCATGTAATCTACGTTCTTCCCCTTCTGTCCGGCTGGAAATCAGACACTGTATAAGGGGAGCACTGTAGTTGCTGTCTTGTGACACTGAGTGAAAGGTCAGCAAAACAGCAGACACCTGCCCATGAGTCCCTTCACCACGGAACCTATGACATCTGAGCTTTTTGCTGAGAGAGGAATATAAACCCCCTCCTTGGTCTACTCAGTGTCATTTTGAGTTTTCTGCTACCAGCATCCACACGCAATCCCTATCCGATAAAGTTGTTGTCAGTGCAATGAAGGGACATCCGAGAAACCATGCAAGAAGTGAGACCAAGGGCCCGACAGGATACCAGTCAGAGGGTGGCAGGGCCTCGCCCTCTGAGCTGGCTTCGCTCAGTCCCACTCGAAGGCCTTCCAGCCGGGCTTGCTCCTCTGCTCTCAGAACCTGCTACAGCTTTGAGTGTGGCACAAGGGGTGTCTACTGCATGAGGGCCAAGTCTTGGGTTCTGATTTCCATTTGGTTGAGTCATTCCTTCACCACCTCTATAATGTGGGTAATGCCTGTCTCGCCTGTCTCACAGTATGCTTTGGGGGATTCAAATAAGAAAATGACATGGAAATGCTCTAAGAAAACCTTTAAACATGTATGGAAATCTGAAGCATTATCATCGTATTATTGCTCCCATTCCCCATTTAATTATTTTCAGAGCAGATATCACTTATAGCTTACACAGGCCCAGTCATGGTGCTGATACGAAAATCAACATTTAAAACACAGTTTTTCACAAATCTATTCTAATGAATTACTTCCATTGCAGGAATGAGAGGTAATAATTGCTTAATATATTTCACATCTGGAGTACTTGGAATTTTCATACTTGAACCAAGTCACACCATAGTTTCTCATTATAATTTTTTTGTTAATTTTTTTAAATCTTCACCCGAGGACATTTTTGCATTTATCTTCATATAGAGCGGGAGGGAGAGAAGGAGGAAGAGAGAGAGAGAGAAACATTGATGTGAGAGAGACACATCAACTGGTTGCCACCCGCACAACCCAGCTGGGGCCGGGGATGAACCGTAACCGAGGTATGTGCCCTTAGCGGGAACTGAACCCGGGACTCTCTGGCCTGCAGGCAGACACTCTAACCACTGAGCAAAACTGGCCAGGACTCTTGTTAAATTTCAATAGAATAGCTACGATGTGTATGGCATGTTAGATTTTTACAAAGTATGTGTAGGCACATGAGTTCCTTTGATTCCCATGATAATATTGATTTATATGCAATTATGCCCAATTTACAGAAAAGGAGTTGGAAGCTCAGAAAAGTTAGTACAGTGGTTGAAAAGAGCTGCTGCTTTAGAATGATGCTTGTATATGATAACTATATAGATAACTATTAGGGCAGACTTCATCAACAACTCCCATTAACTTTTGCTGTGGTTGGGTGTCCTCTGTTGAGGCTTAGAACTTACCTACAGTCCTAGTTTACTCCTTGAATTCTTATCTATGAATATATTCTGAGTACTTACTATGAGTTGGATTGTGTTAGACCCCTGCATGTACTAGGTAACCCTCTTGATGTATTAGTATCTATTTCTATGAGGAATTAGAAGCCCAGAGAGATTAAGCCATTTTCCAATGTCACAGAGCCAGCAAGTGTGAGACCCAAGTTTTGCCCTTTTAAGCTCACAGCTTTCTCTGTTCTGTGTGTTGTCCTGGAGGGACCAACAACAGCCTCTTATTGACATATTCAAATTCATTCTAGAACTTTGTTCCCTCCAAAATTTCACCTCTTATATACCCAATCCGATTTCCTGTCAAGAGTCCTACCATCAATGTTGTTGATGTTGCTCTAATGAGGTTCATCTCCTTTCTCCCCAAATTAGTGGTTTCCTTGTCATGTTATAACTAGACGCCTATCTTCCCACCTGAAATACCCTCTGTCCTCTTCCTTCCCATCAAACCCCTTTATCGTCCACGAACAGGTCAACGCCCCTATCCACGAGCATTTTCTCCAGGACGTAATCTCATATCCTCCTTGGCTTTCTCTAGCACAGGCTACTTTTGCTGCACCGGTGGTTCCATTTTCCAGTTGTTTCCATGTTCATAGTTTATTTACACAATAAGACTGCAAAGCCCACTACAGGAGAAAGTCATGTGCTCCTTTTTGGTCCTGGCACAGTTCCAAGCCAAATTCAACGGACACACACACACACACACACAAACACACACGGTTGATGCACTCTTGGCAAAAATAAAGAAACAGTTCCTCTATTTGGGCCGGGCCTCCAGGTAGGCTCCCTAGGTCACAAAAGAAATTCCTAAGCCCAGCTGGTGTGGCTCAGTGATTGAGCATCAGCCCACGCACCAAGAGGTAGCCATTCAGTTCAGTCAGGGCACATGCCCAGGTAGTGGGCCAGGTCCCCAGTGGGGGTCATTCAGGAAGCAGCCAGTCGATATTGTCTCTCATTGATGTTTCTCTCTCTCTCTCCTTTTCCCTTCCTCTCTCTAAAATCAATTAAAAAATATATATATGTAAAGAAGAAATTCCTACAACTATAAAGAAAAGAAGCCCTGGCCAGTTTGACTCAGCAGTTAGAGCGTCGACCTGCGGTCCAGAGAGACCTGGGTTCGGTTCCCGCTAAGGGCACATTCCTTGGTTGCAGTTTGTCCCCGGCCCTGGTTGGTCGTGCGGGTGGCAGCCACTCAATGTGTCCCTTTCACATCGATGTTTCTCTCTCTCTCTTCCTCTCTCTCCCTCCCACTCTATCTGAACAAAAAATGGAAAAATATCCTCGGGTGAGGATTAAAAAAAAGAAAAGAAAAGAAGACAGACAGACCAAGAAGACAGAAGTTTTATTTTTGGGAAAGCAGGCTAACTCTGAAATATAGGCCTTTGGTTGTCAAGGACAAACAGTCCCGGCCTCAATTTCCTAATTGTACTGCATTCACCTGTTTCAGATGTTCACTGAGGGCGATTCTCAGGCTGCCGTTCCTTCTGTTTAACATCTCGCAGGTCATGAGGGTGTAGAAGATGGCGGTGCACACCAGGGGCATGCAGAAGTAGAAGCCGAACAGCCACCAGTCCTTCACGTCTTGGTAGAACTGCCAGTGAAGAGAAGGGTCAGGGAGGAGGGGCACTTACAACGTCCACTGACTGCGCGGTGCCCCGGGGAGCTTCGAGCCCTCCCTGTCTGCAGACGAGTTCGTGTGCGCATGCTCTCTGGTGGTGGTCATGAGCTGGGGGGTGGTGCTCAAGGCCCATTTAAATGGGCAACTCTGGAAATTACCCCGGCTTTATAAAAGAGCACATGGATCAACCGCATCATAAAATAAGTTACTCTGACAAAGATACTTTTTATAAACGGAAGTTGGTTTTGATGATATAATGGAAGAGCCCTCATCAGTACAAAGAATTCCCTTCCAAAGCTCACAGAACATAATTCTGAGACATACGGAATATATATTTATCTTAATTAGTGAGCCTCAAAAGGCTGCCTGTGCTTGGTTGACTTTGGACTATTATGGTCAAAGTGTACTTCATGTGAATATCTCGTTTGGAAGCAGGGAAGGTTATGAATGGCTTATCTATACAGCTTGAGTTCCTGGAAGTTAACCCTTTGCCTGGTATGTCTGCTATGTGACCTCGCAGCCAGCCAGTGGAGCCACTAATAAGCACGCCCCTTCTCGCTCTTTTTCATACGTGCCACCTGGAAACCATTAAGACGGAGTACCTTATCTGAAGGCATATTTAGCATTATCTCCCTGTGGGCAGGATTTGTAAATACCAGGATTATTCACTTTTATGTCTTTTGAAAGAAGAAAATTTAATACCCTATGAAAATGAAAATTGGAAAATTATTTCTGCATTCTTCTTCCCACTAAATTAATTACCACCTTGGGAAGAAATGCCTTTCCTTATTCCATTTCTTCAGACTGTTTATTTACTGTGGACCACGCAGGCTCCTGTAAGATCTCAGTTCCCACAGTGAAAACTAATCATGCTGTTCTGTGAGCAACCAGACAGTTTCTGAATATAGAAAGAGGCACAGTGGGATACATTTATAGCATGTTTATTAAAATAATCTATAAATGGTTCCCGAGGAAAAAAAGTTCTGGGCAGAGGTTCCTATCTATTTTTGTGCCACGGATCTCTTTGCAAGTCTGGTGAAGACGATAATCCTTTCTGAGAATAATATTTTTACATGCATAAGATAACATACGTAAGATTACAATGGAAACCAGTTACACAGACACAGTATCAAAACGTTAAAAATAAAATTCTGATTAGTAATATATGTGTTTATTAACAAATTAAATGACACTCGAATGGTGGTGGTCCTAATAACTATCAGAATGTTGAAGCAATGTTGAGTGTAAATGACATTTCAAGATTACGCAAATATTATGTGATATGAAAATGTGTTATTTCTATTAGTGAAAAAACTATGGTACTGTTAAATACTATTTCAGTTTGTTGCCTATATTCATAATAGAAGGAAATGATACATTTCAGTTAGAAGTTAGTGAAAATAAACATGTAATTTCTTTTCCATTCAGGTTCATATACCCTCAGGTTAAGTACAAAGTCCCAAAGGACTTGGTTTATGTAGATCTGTCTATACAAATATTTACCTATGCACATGACACTGTAGAAAGATTTCTGTACTGAACTTAAAAAACGAACACACTGAAAAAATCAGGACTCTCTTTTCATTTAAGTGCAACACAAACAGTCCTTTAAGTATCCTCTTCAATATGTACCCCCTTCTTCCAGGTGCACTGCTGGCTGGTGTGAATGCCCCTAATCCAGGTGCCAAGGGTCTGGAGGCTGACCCCATCGGGGTCTGGATGGAGTCCCCTACCCCCTCTGAGGCAGAGAAAGGGGTCACAAGATCCTTTCGAACTGATGTCATCAGCAAGGGTATGGAGGGGCCTCCCTCCAGTCTGTTAGAGCAAAGTTGAGGAGGAAAGTGTGGAACAAAGAGTAGGAATAAAATCAGGAAACAGTCTAGCAAACAAAAAACCAGGAGGAGAAAGAGAATCCCAAGTATAAAAAAAAATTATCAGTTCAAATTCATACCCTTTACTGCAACCCTCTGGGTTTTTCTGCCTGAGGGGTAGCAGCCCCTTGCTTGACCACTCTGTAGAGGAGACTTAGTCACAATGGAGGATCCCATTTCATGTTGTCCAGTTTGAGTGGTCAGTAAGCTCCTTCTTATGTTGGGCTTCTTCTCTCTAACATCTTATTCAGGACTATTTCGATTGCGCATTTACACTGCCCAAATTCTGATAGCCTCCGACTGGCTACTTCATTTTTTACCGTGGAGGTTTGACTTAAAAGGTCAATAGATACACAGACCTCAATTTTAAGGTTGCTAGTTTGGCAGCTTTCCTGAGTATCTTTCATTTGAAAACATGAATGTCCAAGCAGGATAACTGGTCAACTGTAAAATCACTAATTTTGTGAATTTTCCAAGTTAGGAAAACATACCTTGAGATGTCTGTAAGTGATTAAATGTGGAATCTGAGCTGCATGAAACGTACATCAAAGGATTAAATTATGCTGATCTAAGAGAAATAGTTATTCTTTTGGTTTTCCTCCTGAGTCTACTTTTGACTAGTTTTGCAAAGGTACTATGCATTTTAAGTATGTTTTCCAATACACGCATGTGATTAAGCATTTCAGAGAAACACTTATGTGACCAGGTGTGCCAAACAACAATTGAATTTGTTAAACTGGACACTTTAAAAAAAAGTTCTGCAAATTGATATTATTTATACATGTAAGTATGACTTCCTACTTGGAGTTAGTAAATCTATCTTTTAAAAAATGTGTGAGCAACATGTATTTCCCTGAGTAACATAAATATCAGCATGTCTGTCCAGCATGCTGGAAGTTGTACTGTATTCCTTATTTAAAAAACCAACTCTTTATACCTATGCTGTCTCTTTCTTAGTAAATGCATTTTAGAATTCGGAGTTGTTTGGTATGGAACAAAAGTTGTATCGACCGTTGTATTACAATAGTAAAAACAAAGTATTGTTCTATTCAAGAAGCTAAGCACTGGTTTAACATCTACCTTTTATGCAACTGAAGAATCTTTGACTGAATAACGGAGTAAACCACACTGGGCACTGCAGAGACATCAACAAGTCTTGTTGATGGTCAAGTTACATGGAAGACCTCCTCCCCTCCCCAGTGAATTCCCTTTAAATGATTCGTACCTCCATGAACTCTGATGTGGCATTGAGCATACAGGTTTTGTGCCGTTCACCCCTGTATTCAAAGGGCACCATGACGAAGCCAATCGCTTCCGGGATGGCAAGGATAAAAGAAAGGACCCAGATGGAGACAATTTCAATGGCAGTGATCAAAGGAATCCCAATTCCCTGAACACGACTCCAGGAAGCAACAGCTCTGTACCTGAAAAAAAGGGGGGGACAGTGGAATCAAGTTGTTAGGAAATTTTAAATTATTTCAGTTTAAAAATATTATAAATGCTGGAAGGCCCCTTCCATTGGTCATTTTGGGAACCACTGGCATTTTAGGAACTTTCTGTGGGCCCTGTGGGTGTAAAAGACTAGTGGGGCCACTAAAGGTCCCACCCATCTGGAAATCCGTTGCCTGGCAGGTGTGAGTCTGAGCTCTGTGTTTGGCTTCTAGCAAAACCTTGTGAGAGTGTAGAATGTGGCAGCCTCAGATAGGTGTGTCTATTTTTTAAAAATTTTATTATTTTTTATTAAAAAATTTTTTTTTCTTTATTGGTTTTTTTGTTTGTTCAGATAGAGTGGGAGGGAGAGCGAGAAAAAGATAGAGAGAGAAACATCGATGTAAAAGGGACACATCGAGTGGTTGCCACCTGCACGACCCAACCAGGGCCGGGGACAAACTGCAACCAAGGTACCTGCCCTTAGCGGGAACCGAACCTGGGTCTCTCTGGACTGCAGGCCGACGCTCTAACGTCTGAGCCAAACTGGTCAGGGCTATTTTTTAAAAATTTTAATCCTCACCTGAGGAGATAGATATATATATGTATACACACACACACACACACACACACACACATTTTAGACAGAGAAGAAGGGAGAGGGAGGGAGAGAGAGACAGAAATATCGATGTGGGAGAGAAACATCCATCAGTTGCCTCCTGTATGCACCCCAACCAGGGATGGATCCCACAATCATGGGAATCAAACCCATGACCATTTGGTGTATGGGATGATGCTCCAACCAACTGAGCCACACCAGCCAGGTAGTGTGTCTATGTTTTTTAAGCTGGGGGGAAAACTGGATGATGGAAGAGGCAGTAAAAGCTGCTGGTACTTAGTATGGTAATATCTTAGCCCCCTTATATATTAAAAAAAAACAAAACACCCAAACCTTGAAATCTTATCTATGAGTGGAGCTTAGATATCCTTAAGTGAATAGTGACCATAGCTAGCCCATCATTCTCTCTCTTCTACCTTCAACATTTGATCACTGTGGACTTGTATCAGGTGGCAGTTTTAATAAACAGACAATATTTCTAGTAAATGTCAAGGAATGACTTTATCACTCCCATTATGGTGCTGTGCTAGAGTATATAACAATGACTTAAAGACATCTTGATGTCTAATCTTTAGCATTTACAGTCTAATAGAAAAGAATGGTTCTTATATAAGAATAGAATATAAATATAACTGAATAATCATGTAAATTAAAAAGCAAATTGGCATTAAGAAAGTCTAGTTAGCCCTAGTCAGTTTGGCTCAGCAGTTGGAGCATCAGCCTGTGGAGAGAAGGGTCGAGGGTTCGAGTCCTGGTCAAGGGCATGTACCTGGATTGCAGGTTTGATCCCCGACCCTGGTTGGGGTTGTGTGGGAGGCAACCATTTAATGTGTTTCTCTCACATCGATGTTTCTCTCTTTCTCCCCTACCCCTTCCATTCTAAAAATCAATGGAAAAATATCCTCAGTTGAGGATAAAAAAGAGAAAGAAAGCAAGCATGTTTACGTTTTTTTTTGTTTGTTTTTGTTTGTTTTTTTTACTTTAATATGTTTGTGATAATCACAGTTAAATGTTAAGTCTAAAGAAAGTTTGGTTTCAGAAACTCTCTGGTCTTTGATCTGATGTGATGGTCTGGGGCTAACTACTTTTAGACTTATTAAGAAGGGACCTGTGATGTAGTATGGTATTTTTGTGGCTTCATTCTTGACATTTTTGTTGCTGTTGTAATGGAAAGGAAACCTTTTCTTTTTATAGCTTTATTAAGTAGTGCCAGAGGGCTGTAAAACAGATCAAAGCATTGGAGACAGGTACACCTGGGTTCACAGGGCATGTGACTTAATGTGGAAGATTAGTCAGTAAAGCCAAGGCAACCTACAAGCTACTCATATCCACCAAGATGAGTCCTATCACTTATATTCAGTGTTCTGTCTCAGTACATCTTCAAGGTACATCTGTGAAAACACAGCTTCTAGGAACTATGCTATCTTGTTCTTCACTGTAGATTAGAACCTATAGTTTCGGTATGTACAATGATGCCACACGGCACACACACAGCACAGTTTTATGGAGAAATGTTTTGCAAAAGATTTTTAGGGTAAATAAGATTGGTGTACAATACAATCTCTAAAAAAGTCCAGATTAGTTCAGAATGGAATAAAATACAGCTATGCAGACAGACCAAGAAATTCCTTTTATGATATGGCCAAGATTGCATGTTTAAATTTATGGTTATTTCCAGTGGGATAAGGACTACTATTTATTTTGCTCTCCATTTCTGTTTACTTTTCTTTGTTGCCTTATTAGACTGGCAGCCTGATGTTCAGTAAAAGCTAAAAGGAATGGAGACTGAATGTCTAGATCCCGAGGCTGTCACTGAGTTATATCTATTTCTTCTCCCCTCCTCTCAGATCAGTTATCAGGAACGGTGACTGAAATAAAATACTTTATCTCTTAAGGGAGTAAGAAAACCAGACATCTTAGGCAGGATTAGAGATAGAAAGTGGTTTAACTGTGGTCAGCATGTTCTTATAATTAATATATTTACAGACCAGCTTCATTTTATAATGTGCCGTAAATTCCCAGAATATTACATGTCTATAATCCAATGTATATTAAACATTTAAAAATAAATAGAAGTAATTTTTAGAATCTAGTTTAGTAAATTATTCATAATCAGTCTGCTCCTTCATTTACACACATGACTGAGAATTAGAATGTTTCCCATTTGTCATCACAGTGATCTTAATAAAATCTCTATGAAATGAGAAACTAACCATGAGAGCAGTTATAAACAATTGTGATGATAGAGGTGGGGAAAGTTGTGGAAAATAAGAAACACTGGACTCCAAGATGGCAGTGGAGTAGGTGGATGTTACACTCATTTCCTCCCAGAACCAAACTGGAATTATACCTACACTATAGAATAAAAAAAACTGAATAACCAACTAAAGGCTAGCTTAAGAGAAGTCTTATAGCCAAGAATTTACAGAAGAAGCCACAATGAGACTGGTAGGAAGGGTGGAGATGCAGAAAGGGCTGGCCCCGCTCCAAGGGGCAGCTGAGATTTTGGAGGGATATCTCAGCAGCAAAGGTTCCCCCTGAGAAGTGTGGGGTCTCAACCCCAAGCCAGGCTCCCCAGACTAGAGCACCAGAGCCAGGAAGAGGTGCCCACGTAATATGTGGCTGTGAAAATCAGTGGGGATTCTGTCCACTGGGGAGAGACAAGAGTCTGCTAGAGTCACAGGTGGCCTCTTAAAGGGCCATTGCACAAAATCGCATTTGCAGTCACTCACCCTGGGCTCCACTGGAGGGAGTCAGATTGGACTAGAGTTGCCTGAGGAGAGGCTGGGGTTTGTGGCTCTGGGGAGGGAGCTGAAGGGACAGCTGCCAGGATCCTTGTGCTGAGTCCCTCTCTCACACCCTGGGTGAATGCAATAGCCCCACCCTCTGAACTCCTTGCCACCCCACCCTATAGAGCTTGCACCTTGCTGAGGAGTCAGCTGCCTTGGCTGGGGTGTAGAGGTTTGGGCAGACTCAAGGGTGTCAGTGACTAAGTTGTGTGGCTCTGGGATGGGGGCCACTTCCCCTACCTTCCCCCAAGCATGACTGGCACTTCTTCCTCACTGGAGATCCACTAGCTCCATCTTCTTGATTCTCAAAGGTCCCACATACATCCAGTGGCCAGCTTCAGACAACACCAGAGTAGGATCCAATTAGCTTCACAAACAACATATCCAGTGGGAGATTTCGGCAGGCACCAGACCCTGCTGAGATGAATTCCGACCCCACGCACGAAAGGGCCAATAGCAATCAAGACTCAACTACAACAGGAGGGCCCACATAACTCACACAAAGGACATTCTTGGAGCACCCAGCTTAGGTGAACAGGAGACTGCTGTACTGGGACCCACAGGACACCTACTACGTAAGTCCACCCTACCAAGAGTGGGAGTCATAACAGATCTACCTGGTACATAAAAACAAACACAAAGAGGTAGCCAAAATGGGGAGACAGAGAAACATTCCCCAAATGAAAGAGCTGGAGAAATCTCCAGAAAAAGAACTAAATGAAATGGAGGCAAGCAATTGATCAGATATAGGGTTGAGAAAAATGGTTATAAGGATGCTCGAGGAACTTAGTGAGAACTACAACAGCAAGAAAAGACATATAAATAATAAAAAAGAACTAGTCAGAAACAAAGAATACAATATCTGAAATAAAGAATACATTAGAAGAATAAACAATAGGTTGGATGAAGCAGAGTACTGAATCAGTGATTTGCAAGACAATATAGCAGAAAATACCCAAGCAGAGCAGCAAGAGACCCACCTCAGAATAAAAGATGAACAGGCTAAAAGTAAAGGGATGTAAAAAGATATTTCATGCAAATGGAAATGAAAGAAAAGCTGGGGTCACAATGTTTATATCTAACAAAATAGACTTAAAGCAAAGGCTATATATGAGAAAAGAAGGATACTACATAATGATAAAGGAAACAATCCAAGAGAGGATATAACACTTGTAAACATGTATGCACCCAACATAGGAGCACCTAATAATATAAAGCAAATCTTGATGGATATGAAGTAGAGATCTATAGTAACACAGTCATAATAGGAGATTTTAACACCCCATTGACATCATTTCTTTCTTTTAAAAATTAAATGTATTGGCATGACATTGGTTAATACAATTATGTAAGTTTCAGGTATACAATTCTACTATAAATCATCTTTTATTGTATTGTGTGTTTACCACCCCAAGTCAAGTCTCCTTTCATCACCATTTATCCCTCATGTTCATGGATTGGAAGAATTAACATCATTAAAATGTCCACACTACCCAAAGCAATCTATAGATTCAATGCAATTTCTATCAACATACCAGTGAAATATTTCACAAAACTAGAACAAATAATCCAAATATTTGTATGAAAC